CACCAGTCCCATTTAAATGTTGAATATTGCCTTCACTCCTCACTGCTAGGTAAGGCCCTGCTTGTGAACATCTGTTGTCTTTGTGGTAGCAATGGGTTGATAGAAGAAGGGAAGAAACATGAGAACTGCTCAAGCTTCAAGCTTTGCGTATGGGACAGCACCGATCAGGAGCCTCTAACGTTTGGGTCAACCTGAGATGTAAGCATGGGTGTATTCCAGTGCCCAAAACAAGATTTGAGAAGCAGACTATGATGGTTTTAAAACACCAGTACAAGTAGGAGAGCAAAGTTCCCAGTGTCCTGCTATTCTGTCCTATACTGAATGTACTGCAGTACACTTAAAATACAGTTCAAATGATCGGTTTGGCATGTTAATACATATGAGTGCACCCAGGCCTTATCAAGCCCTTTGGCGAGTTATTTTATTTCATTTCAAGAAGTCATTTGCCAGGCCAGGCTGCATCTCCCCTTGGACAGTGTGGGTACAGCCATTATAGATGTGGACAAACCTTTGAAAAGTACGGACAAACCTGATAATGCTGGTAGTGCTCTCCTAACGAGACTGGGGAAATAACTCTCCAAAGCACATGCAAGTTGGCTGAAGTCTACCGAATGTTGGGTAGGCTAATCTAATTTTAATCAAGATATGGCTGTAGCTCCTACAGCTGTACTCGAATTAGCTTTGCATTTGCTGGCTTACATACTGGAAGCTTGGAGCTGCTGCAGCACAGAGTTCAGGCCAGGCTGCAAAACCTACCTGTGAAACAGGGCAGGCTTGGCTCTATACAGCCCCAGCTGTGGTGACAACACATGTGGGAGGGAGTTCTGGCTTTCAAAGCATCATCTAGTTGAACTGTGTCGCTTTCTCGTGTTTTCCCCTTAGTCCCGACAAAAGTCTGGACTTTAGTCTCAGACTTAGCCTCAGATGTGCGAGAAAATGCGTAGTCTTAAAACCCATCAGCTCTCCCCTTCTTCATTTAAAATTGTGTACAGCTCTCAGAAAAATAACAGGTCTCAGGACATGATAGCTGCAGATGGAGAGCGTGCTATACTTCGAAGTGAAATATTAGTACAGTGAAATATTAGTACACTATGAGCAACCGTTTGGCCCTGGGCTTTTCCAGCTTTGCTTAACGTGTTGCTTTTTTGTTTTGGTTTTTAATCATGCTCTCCTACAAGACTTTCCTACAAACCCACAGTCACCTGCCAGGAGAATAGATTATGCAGAGGCTGGGTAACTGGGATGAGGGGAGTCTTTATAAGACTGGGAGGCCTGGAACAATTAAATTCAACCGATTGACAGAGCAGGCGAGATGAGTTGACAGTAGAAAGATAACCTGTTTGTAAATGCAGCCCTATTTTATCTTCCCACCAATTAAATTAAGTTCGCTTTGGCCTTCAGATTAAAAAAAAAAAAAAAAAAAAAAAGGAAACCCTAAATAAACACTGTTACGCTGCATACATCTTAATACTTCTAATCTTCTGACTAGCAGAGCAAAAAATTAATATCTTCCTGCCTTGGTAAGAGGGAAAACAGATGCCATGGGGAGGAGGAAACAGGAGAGGATGAGCATCCCTAGGTTTACGTTTGTGTCTACACGCACATGCACACACACATATGGAGTCAAAAATAGCTGTGTGAAAGGATGTTTTAGCCCTGGTGTAACAATGCACACAAGCACACCAGCAATGAAAAGACAGCATTTCCACTTCAGCTCGGTGACCCCAGGCAGAAGGAGGAACCTGGCTTCAGCAAGCTTGTCTCATGACAAAACTGAAGCGCCCTGCCTTTGCTGTGCGTTAGCTCGAGGATAAACCTCACATGCTGGCAGCCCCCAGGAAAACCCATGCCTTTTGCTTCACAAAGATGAGGAGTAAATGAGCCAAGATCTGTGCCCTTTCCAGCACTGCCGCCTGCAATCCCAAGGCAAATGAGGGATGCTCTGGAAGTTTGGGCTTTCCCCAGTGCCCTCAGCTTTTGCCTCCTGTAAATGTGCTGCTGGGCATTCAGGTGCTGGAGGGATGTATGACTACTGCTGCTGCCGGAGCCCCACATATCTGCAGGCAGCAGTGGAAAAGAAACTGATGAATATTGCATGATCAGAGGGAGGGAGGTGGGTCAGGAGCTGCTCTCCTCGCAGCAGAGAAGCAAACAAATACTCGCACGCCTGGGAGATGCTTTTGACGTTGGCAAACATCTCCCCGATCCCTTTCCCCCCTCTCCTTACCCCGCTTCTCAGCAGCATGTCTGAGCGCTCGGCTGTGCTGACCGTGCCTTCTGAGGCACCGATGTGCTCAGGTTTTCCTTTGGAATGCCAGGCAATGCTTTCTGCTTTTCCCCACCCTCATTCCCAGGCTTGGACCCCCGACAGGGGAGGTGAGGTGTGTTTGCAGCTTGTCCCTGCAGCCTCATAGGTGCCTCGTCGCAACCACAAGGACGCGTTGTGAAATGAGCCTCAGTGCTGTGGCTGGGCTCTGCTGCTGCTGTGGACACACAGCCATCACCGATACACCAAAAGCCTGACAAATCCAAATCCCCTGGTTATTGCTGGGTGCAGGAAAAAATAAAAATGTGGGTGGGCTTGGGAGCTAGTTCAGATTGCAGTAAGTGCACTTGGGCACATCCTTTCCATTTTCCGTACTGGGTTGCTAAGACATACAGCAAGGAATTTGCCATCACCCATAATATTCACATATTTTGTGCTGCTGAATATTGCGTCTCCTCTGCAAGCAGCCAGCATAATTTAAAGCAACTCTGAGGCTACTAGACTCTGTGGTGGGTTGTTTGGGGATGTCGGATTGTAACTGCAGATAGCAAATGTTGTGCCACTCTCTTTGGATGCAACTGTCAAATGGGACAAAACTTTATGTGTTTTACTCCCTCTTGTAAAAAAAACAACTAGCTTACAAAGCTCATGGAGGGGGAAGCTTGCCAGCATTCAGACTAAATGTCTTCTGGATTCATTTTATCCTATTATCCTTAACTAGTTTGCCCTGGATCAGACTATTGCTTCATTAGCTCTATATATGGGGAGGCATTTTCTGTAGTGCTGAACAAAAACTCTCACTTTTTTTCTGGTTTACATAACATTCCTATATTTTTTTCTTCCCTGAAATGCTTTTATTTATTTATTTATTTATTTATTTATTTATTTATTTATTTGATTCAGCATGGGCCTGAGCCACAAATGTTATTTTTGTGTCCCAAATTCCTAAGCAACCCAGCATGTTTGGTGCAGGCACGTTCACAGGTGCAAACCATCGACAAAGGAAAATTATATTTGGAAAGGTGACTTTTAGAAGTACTCTAGATCAGTTTCTTTTTATTTTAATTGTCACTGATGATAAAATGCCACTTCCTGACTTCAGGGGGGAGCAGAACTGAGTTAATGTTAAAGTGTTTTGTAAATCCCACTCACCATGCAACAAAAAAAAATCTATAGTAGATCCCTGAGGTGAAGATTTTAATCACATAAGACAGGCAGTTCAGAGCCAAAATGTACTATCAAAATAAACAAACAATATCACAGATAACTAAAACTAGAAAGCTTTTTTAAAAAACAATTCCCATTGTTTCCTATCTGTCATTTGTTTATTTGTTCTATTTCCTTCCTTTGGAAAACATAACTAAACTAGTGACTTTTTATTTGACTTTTCCATGCCCTTTCAATCTGAAGTGCTTCTATTTTACATTAAAATAGCAGAAAAAGAAAAGAGGTCTCAGATGAAGAGATCAAAACATCTGCCTCCTCTGTGACATCTGCATAGCTCTGCCTCGCAGCATGACTCTGGTTCTTGTAGGCAGAGATACCTTGGAAACTTAAAACACACCACAAGACTATTTTGTTAGTTAGCGACGTAGGCAAGAATCGTTTTCTATTTTCCATACTTGCACCTAGCTGAGCTGGCTTTGGTGCTCTTTGTTTATGTACATCAACATAAACAAATCACTATGTAGTGAGTCTAAGCTAAATAGTAGATTTGCTGTATGTTATCTACACTGTGGCAGGGTTTTTTTTGTGCTTATTTTATTGTAAATGTTATCCTGGAACAATTGTGGTAGCTAGAGTTTCTTACCTGTGGATGTGAAGAGAGTGAAAAGAACAACTTCTGCAGATCTGCTGCTGCTTCTAGTTTCTTTACCTTCCTCAGACTTCTGTGCTATCTCAGGCTTTCTCTATTTTAATAGTTTTTATTATTTTATTTTATTATATTTTATTTTATTTTATTTTATTTTATTTTATTTATGTGACTCTTCTGCTCACATGAGCTTTTAAAGTTTTAAGCCACTGCTCTGCTGCTGTTTGCCTGAATCTCAAACTAAAACCATCTAACATCCAAGTGCAGTGACTATATCCCTTTCTGTGCACCCCCTTGACCCTGGAGCCACAAGAGGCTTGGAGGGGCTGCAGAAGTTCACCAGTGTGGCTGTGGTAGTGAGGTTACCTCCCAGATTCTTACACTGAGTGCCTCTGACGTTCCTTACACATTGTGTTTCACACTTAACGTCTATGCATTCACGTGCTGTCTGCAACAGGTTCTTTTTGAGATACGATCACAAACTGTACTATTTAGATAGGAATGTAAAAATGTTGCATATACATGCATATAAGATTATAGGAAACGTTTGCATTATTTGTCAAGTCGTATGTTTTATTGCTCAGCACTGTGTAATCAGGCAATAAAAAACTTGACCTTTTATGTGATTCAGGCCTTTCCCTTCCCTCTGCATTCATTCATCTAGCTGCTGTGTTGTGTTTTTTTTGAGGGGGCCATAAATTTTTTTATTATTCTTTCCAAGTAATGGTACTGGGGAGAATTTTTCAGATGCTGCCTCCTCTATTACCATCCTGAAATCTGTTTATTTTTCTTTAGTTTCCTAAATCCAGGCCTATTTGCTAATCTCAGAACAACTAAATTGGATAAATGCAGAGCAGGTGCCGACAGAATTTAAATGGGGAGAGTGGCTGCAAGGTGCAAATTGATTTTTTAACTGTCCATCCCATGGAGGATGTAGTAGTCTTCCCTGAAAAGGGCAGGACACAAGCCTTGGTTATGTCCAATTGCAGCTCAATTAAGAGTATAAAAGCGTTCCCCTGCAAGCAGGGCTTTCTTTTTTATGAGCTGTTGGACAGAAAGAAGAGGATGGAGCTAGTAAAGTGGAAAGGGACTCCCTTGGGCGGTATGTTTAGGATGCTCTGTTGCTTCTTTTCTTTGGTCCTAAGGGCCTCTAACAGCTTTAAAGATATGTTTATGCTGGGAGACCATCGCCTCCTTTGCCGCGGATGGAAAAGCGTGCCTCTCGCCCTTCCCGCAAACAGCATTGCAGTGATTTCCCTTCTGAGTGCTGTGGGTAAGTGAATTACATGGAATGAGATTTCCTCTTGTCTCTAGATAAAGCTGGGTGACCGAGTGTAAAATTGAGAGAACTTTGCTTTTGCAATCTATCACTGCCCTCCCTTAGTGCTCTCCGTGGTGTACCTGTGGGGCCTGATTCACCACAGTTTAAAATGGTGTGAAGGCAGTGTGAAAGAAAGACAGCTAGCTCCTTAGTGTGAATTGTCTGGCCCACCGAGACGGCTGTTGTTTGCTAAAATTGTGGCCCAGAGGGCCGCAGGTTTTTTTCTACCCTTGTTATTCTTCCTGTTTCTTGAGCATTGCAGGTCTTGTGCTGCTGCTTCTGTGGGGAAAGGCTGAGCCTGTAATGCATGTGGACAAAGCTGAGGAGCATCTGGCTCCTTCTGCAAGGTCTGTGTACTGCCTTCTGATTCAGTGCGGGTACGCAGCCCTGTCTGGTTAGACCAGCTAGGCTTCTGGTTGCTGTAAGCTTCTCAAATGCTTGATCCTGCCTGATCTCCTAGAAGAGTAGCTGATGGGATGTGCATCGTGCTAGCAGCTAGGAACAAAAGCTGGTTATCACTCATCCAGTTACTCTCAATGCAATTGATCCTATATAAGAAGCGGGTGAGCTGAAAATTATAAGGAAAGTCCCTGAGATTGCTGTATGGCTGGAGGGAGGAGTAAACATACAAGCAGAGAGTGGGACTCTGGAGAAGTGTGTCAGCTTGCTAAACTAAGTCCCTGTTTCTGCTCTAGGTAAGTGAGGGTTTGTAACAGGTTTCTGTGCTACCAAAGTCTCAGTGGTAAAACCAGCTTAATCATGGAGGGTCAACAAAATGACCTCTTTCCAATCCAGGACTGTAATATGATCTGGATCTCTTTACTTTGCCAAAAAAAAAAAAATAATCTTACACTCTCACTACTGGAGATGGGTTTTAGAGCATGATGTGTGAGCAGTTAAAACTCACAGGTATGACGGTACAGCCGCTTTTGACCTTTCTGGGTGAAAGGACGAAAGGGCTAGGGACAAGCACAAGCTTCCAAAACCGTTCTTGCTGTCTGACCACACAGCGGTTGTATGTGCAGCCTTGGGGATTCTTTTACAGGCATCTCCCCTGAGCTCTCATAATGGAAATGATAAAACTGAAACCTGGGGTTGATGCTAACGAACTTTCTCTCTGCATAAAGATACGTGATTGCAGAAACCTGAATGAGAAACAGTAACTGCTTTTTAAAATATATATATAATTAGGTATTTGAAGTGGCCTTATAAGTGCTCCCTTTGGAACACGAAGGAGCAGGTAGATAACTTGACTGTTGTCTTACAGTTATCGTGTAGGAATCTGAGGTATTTTGACTGAGGATTCTCCACCTGGACTTTCTTGGGCAGCTCCATCCTCTACATATTAAGTATATGCTATGTATTAAGTGACCTAGAAGGTAGACCATTCCATCACACTACTTGTTTAGATGTTAGACTATGGGATGGAAATGAGATGTTAGCTGCTTAAACTGAGAGCGAGCAAGCTTTAAGCCTCCTGTTAAGGTGTGTGTTTATATATATATATCTTTCCTGCTTTTTAAGCTAGAGAATACAACTTTTTTTCATGACCGCTAGACTTGTACATTTAACCACTTTAAATGCTATGAAGCCATTATCAATGGCTGGATGACTGGCACTACTAGCTTAAATGGTTGAGGCATCTTTGCCGTTCTCTGAGTGTTGGGCTGGGGAGAATAAGTGATAAATAGCACAAGAGTGAGTACAGTAGACTTGCTGATGCCTGTTGCTTCTTCCTAGACCATGTGGATCAAAGGTAGACAAAGTCAAGTCCCTTAGGATATAGTGAAAATAGGCATTTAAGAGTCTCCTTTGTGGGTCTGGCTCTTAACCTTTTGGCTGAGCGTATTACTTGTTCAAAGCTTGACTCCAGACTCATTTATGCTGAAAACAAAAGCCTATAAACCATGGGATGATGGCTTTGGCTGTGTCTTTTTTCACCTTGGAAAGATAATGAATGTTGTCATATAATGTTGCCTAAATGGTGGGACTCCTGAGAATCTCACAAAAAATAACAATAAAATAAAAAAGGTGGTCTCAGCTGCTGTTATGTAACTCACTGTTTCTCTGAAGATAAGAACTCAATAGCCTAGGGTGAGAGGATAGAAACCAGCTGTGGTCACTGGAAGCCAAAATAGATATGTATACCCCTGTCATGGAGGAATGGAATTGATGGTAGCAATAAAAAAGTGTTTGGCATCTCCCAGCCCAGCACAAATACTTGCAATGAGTAATTTTAGCTTTTCCTGTGCTCCCTGTTCTGGAAGAACAGAGTTGCTGCTTCTTCCTCCCAAAAGTAGACGTCTCTGTGGAAGGAGCATGAGTGGCTGGTTTCAGCAGGATTCCTGGTGTGCAAAGACAAGGTACTAGTCTCATTTAGGTTGCCAAATTGTAAATTGGAGATGGCCATATGAGCGAAAGTGATCACTCATGTAAGGAAAAAGATACCTTCTTTGGGTTTAAATGGAGGTGGGTGACGATACCTCGGTGGACCAAAAAAAAAAAAAGTAGCATTTCCATATGAATAAGCTGAAGGTTAGGCAGGACACACAGTTGCCTTGACTTGTTTTTTTGTTTGTTTGTTTGTTTTTCTTTTCTCTGGAATATTTTACAATGACTCTTTAAAGGAAAAGATATCTTTCCAGGGAGAGGAACTGAAATGCTTGCTGAGACTACCGTGTGCCATGTCAGATAGAACATCTGTAGAGTAGGAACATTGCTAACATTGTGAGGAACTTCTGTGGAGATAGTCCTTTGTACTTGAAACAAAACAAATAACAAAAAAAAAACACAACATAGATGCTTTTTAAGGTAAGGATGATAAGAACAAGGATGTCTTATAGTTTGCAAACCACAAGCATACCTCATAGTGGCGTAAGTCTCAAGCTGGCATAAGTCTTTTTGTTGCCTCTCTGTGGCTCTAGACTCTTCCAGAAGCAGCCTATGCAATGTTGTTCTGTCCCGTACAAGCTGCCTTGCACTGCATTGTTTCTTCTCTTTGGCAGGATGCAAAGGGACAGGCATCTGGTATGACCCAAGTGACAGGGTTTTGCTATGTCAGTATGGTAACACAGGTGGCTGGGAATGACAACGATAAGGACTTTTAGTAATGAAGAACTGAATGAGTTTAATAATAGCTATTCACATGCTCCTGTGGAGCACGATACTAAGGCCTAACCATGAGAGTTCTTCAGTTTTTGAAATCGTTCTATAGACATCTCAATACAGAGCTGGTGCCACTAAGTGGAACATCTGGAGGAAACATCCAATTTAGTAGCTAATGCTATAAAAACAGAATGTCATTATCTCAAAAATAAATAAATAAGTTCAATTCTGGTTCCATCATAAGGAGACACTCTTATATAGCTCTAGAGCATCCATAAGGGTTTGTGGATTAAACCAAATAATGCCAATTCTGTGGTACCTTTTCAGTAGTTAAAATACAGTGTCTTTTGTTTTAAGCCATCTGTGTGACTCTAGTGGTGGCTGCAGCTAGACAGTATTCCTAACCAACTTTAAAAAAGAACAACTTTGGGTTTAATTCCTAAAAGCTATGTTTTTTACTGAAAATGAACTACAGCTAGTCATATGTTCTTTCCCCTCCTGCCCCAAGCAGGTTTCCAACTAGAATTTGAGAAGCAGAGACCTCCTTTCCTGTGAAGTTCATATTGATTCAGGAAGGAGCTGGTTCAATATTCCCCTGGGAGGGAGGCAGTATTAAATATAATGTTTAGTGATTGGAACTGTGCAAGAAAGCACTTTATTATTCCCACAACTTCAATGAAATAATCTCAAGTCTCTAAAATGGGAGAGTAATAGAATAAACTGCTGGTTTACAAACAAACCAATAATAATAAAAAAAAAAGAGGCAAAAACACTAACACCTCTACTTAACTCTCTTGCTGGCCATGGCCATTTCTAGAAAGGTCAGATAAGCAGCTGAGTTATTCCCCTTAAGATGGAGTTGACCAAAATAAAATCGTCCAGGCAGAGACCTCTGGGCTTAACTTTGCCATCAGGCAGTGCCTCCATACTGTGTGCATTAGTTCTGAATTTGGTAGAGCAGGGGCATATAGCTATAAAACACAAAGTGCAATCCTTGGGATGTTGGCTATTCTGTTATGATTCTTGTCCCCCACCCTTTGAAACCACAGAAGAATTCTTCTGTCAAAACTGATATAATATTGCATACACAATTTGATTTTTTTTTTGGCAAGAAACTGTCATTTTTCTGATAGCTTTCCAACCCTTACTCCAGAAGTCATTAAGTAAGACAATTTCATTAGAACCAGCTGTGGTAGGCCTGAAATCACCTCACCCTTTGTTACTAGGCATTGGCAGCACCTGCAGACTTCAGGGATGATGAGAGAGAGATTTCTTTAACATATGTCAGACTTGGCAGAGTCAATATGCTGTTGGCTACAGCTGCTAGTTAAACTCCTAGTCCTATGTTGTATGACTTACCCTAAAAGAACACAATCTCTGTCCTGAAGAGCTGCAGGCAATTAACACTCCCTCTCTTGAAACCTACCAGAGGAATGTAGCCTGATTGCTTGTTGGCTAGTAGTAGGAAAAACTAAATTGCTGAGGGAATGGGGCATATGTGTAAAGCAGGTCCTTGAGAAAGAGAGATGCTGTAGTTGGCTCTGCTCTCCTTCTTAGTGACCAAAGGGAACTACGAGGAGATGACAGATGGCACCACTCAAATGAGGTCTTACAAGGGCTGATTGCTGTCTTTCTGTTCTAATCCAGTGTGCATCTGTTGGTCACTGCTTTCTGGTCTCTTGAGAGATGAACGTGCCATTGCTAACCTGGACTTGCTGCATCTCACCAAGAGGCATGGTGAGAGCTGTTGACCAGCCATCAAAAAAAATGCCAGCGAATAAAATAATTCCAATGTTCAGTATCAATTCCCACTCTATCCAGGTGAAACCACTTTCTGGGTAAGAAAGGATTGTTGAAGTTTTTTTCTAGTATATTATTAACTCTGATATTCCATGTAATTTAGGATTGGAATAGGTTATAAAAGATGATGTTCCTTGAGGAAAGCACTAAAATAGATTTTTGCCCTTTTAAGTTATATTAAAAAAAAAAAAAAGTAAAAGAAATCCAGTATAATAATCTTCATCTTTTTTAGCTGCACTTCTAAACTTAAATGGCAATGAGAAGTTTTTTCAAGTCTGTGGCTTGGACTTCTGTAGTGAGAGTGTCCTGAAAGTCTCACTAGAGACTTTACTTTTTTTCTATATCCTTCCCAAGTCAGTAGACATTAAGGGATGAATGCTCATGAGAGTGTTTGAACTTGCATCTGTAGTCATGCCTTTTTGGAACCCTTCATTTGGAAGGGACCTACCAGGATCATCAAGTCCAACTCCTGTTTCCCCACTGGACCACCCAAAAATCAGACCATATGTCTGAGAGCATTGTCCAAATGCTTCCAGAATTTCATCAGGCTCAATGCTGTGACCACTTCCCAGGAAAGCCTGTTCCAATACCCAAGCACCCTCTTAGTAAAGAAAATTTTCCTGATATCCAACCTGAACTTCCTCTCTTTAAGCTTCAAGACATTCCCTCAGATAATGCTTATTTCTGCTCCCTCCTGTGCAGAAGGTTGGAGACCACGGGATATGAGAATCAGCTAGTGGCAGACAGCAATATGAGAAGCCAGAATATTGGCACTGTTGCACAGTATAATAATTTCAGATAACTTTTTGAAAGACTTGTACAAGAGAGGTGTTATGGATAAATGATCCTACTCTTCTATGGATGTTAAGACTACAGGTAGTTGGGAAAAGCTTCTCTCTGCAAGTTTCTTCTGAAAAGTGCTTAATTGTTAACACTTTGGCTTTGGTGAATTTTGCTTTCCAGCAGGTGTTAATGGACTGATAAGATTTATCTAAGTCTGATAAGCTCTTCCACCTGCATAAGACCTGCTGCTTTGGTTGAAAATAAAACCCAAGTAGAAAGTGAGGGTGTTTAGTAGAAGCCCTCCAACCTCTTTCTGTAATCATGCCCTTTTTTTTTTTATTATTATTTTTTTAACTGGGGTAAGTGTCACAACTCTGGGCACAAGTTCTGCGCACTTAAGTCACTTGTAAGGCATAGTAGAGGTGCACTGAACTCCAGTGGAGAAATTCAACGGAGCTCTGGGATAAGAACTGCCTGAGATAGTTACTGATTTTAAAATAGGCTCTTTAAGAATATCCTTGAACTTCTGTCTATTGATCCAGGCCTTGCAGTTTTCACATTGGTTTTTCAAATGACTAAAACCATCCCAGCTCCCCCCACAGTTTTAGTTCCTCCTGAGTTATCTGCAGAAAGTTAGAGCTCACCTGAGCTTTGGCAAATGATGAAATAATGCACTATTTAAGCATTAATGTGGGGCTAATAGCCCGTGTGGATTCACTTCAGTTGCTTCTGCTTCTTTCCTCCTAGGTTTGCTTTCGCTGTAGTGCATCAGCCTGTGTCTCAGATACTATGAAACCCTGCACACCTCACTGACCTCCTGAGAGGTAGAAGCTTACTTTGGAGGCAGTAAGAAAATGGGAGGCACCAGCATGAGTCTCTGTAGTGAAGGTATGGTTCCAAAAGGCCTTGTGCTCTGATATTTAGGGTACCAGCTCAGGCTGGATGTAGGCAATTCTGTGCAGGGACTTCTTAAACCACACACCGTTAAAAGATGAAGGGTATCTGTAGCTGTGTGCTTATCTTAGCTTTCCAGGAAGTTTCTCAGAATTTTCTTGAACCTCTGTAGTTGAAACCTGATGTGGGGTAATCAAACAGCATATCCTTTGAGAATGAAATGCAGTAGGACCTATATTGGTAAACTTCCACGGTTCTCTGAGTTATTTATATTTTAACTTGTGTGGGGGAAGCCTAGTTGATATTATCACAGAGGATGGTGACAGAATGGAGAAACTCAAGTGTTTTCTTTTTGGAGGGACACATGAATTCTAGTCATGTCCATTCCATCTAAAACAACATATACAATACTGCACCAGAATATGGGTGCAAGAACTAAAATGGAAGTAGTTAAAGCATAAGTACTGGGGAGGAAAGGGGAGCTTTGTCTGAGGGTTCGAACTCCTTTTTTTTTTTTTTTTTTTTTTAAATGGAAAAATATGGTTAATAAAGACTGGGAGCAATGCTGTGATATGGCATGGAAAGATTGCTTGGGGCTTTGGGTCAGTGAAAAAAGTTTTAAGACTCTTCAGTAAACATACCCTTTTTTTTTCCCAAGAAGATGAAATGACTTGTATACAGACTCCCTGCTATCTCTTAAGAGGTAGGAAAGGAGAAAAAAAAAAAAAAAAAGGCAAAGGCAAGTGGAGTCCCAGGTAATGCTGTGAGAAGCTGAAGTTATAACACAAGTACCTGTGGATTTCTGTAGCACTGGAGCAGACCACAGCTGCCTTTAGAAAGGTAACAAGTGGCTCAAGTTGCTTCATTTGCCATATACAATCTTGATGGGGCCAGTCGTGTAATTCAGAATGGTGACTTTTGCTAGTGCTTAAAGCATTGAGGTGGGGTAGTAAGTGGCAAAATAAAGGGGCTTCAGGTAGCTTGCAATAGGCTTGCATGTAGGGAGGACCCTGTTCTATACAGTAAGGGCTGTCTCTTTTCTGAATCATGACAAATGAGCAAGTAGCAACAAATCAAAAATACATGTAGATTGCCTTCAGTGACCTGGAGCTTCCACTTTGACCACAACTGATCATGTTCTTTCATTCCTTTGAGCAGCTATGACGAATACTTTACATAAAGTGCTTTAGTGCCCAAGCAGGTATGGAAATAACTGGAAGCACTTCAAAATGTTCATGTTGGTACCCTGATTTCTCTACAATCCACCATTCCAGGGGGTAGAAACATAATTCAGATCCAGACACTGGAGCTCTGGCTCTTCTAAAATCAAGCCCAAGCAACTTTTTTCATGAGGTTGCAAAAGCATTTTTTCCCATGGGTTGAAAGCTGAGTTCTAGATCTGTTAGAAGGCTCATTTCATGTGTCAGACACCTCACAAAACACCCCTACTTCCTTTCAGTTAGTAACAATAATATTACGAAATTCTATCTATAACAGCAACAAAACGTGCTGCCACTAACTGTTGATCATGATTCCTTTTTGTCACAACTCAAGCTGCCTGTGACTAGTTATTGTGACACTGTATGATTATCCCAAGGCCTGATGATATCACTTCTAGTGAAGTGCAACCTTACTCTGTTCCTTTCATGTTGGCTTTAGACTACTTTGTCTAGCTGGGACAAACTTCAAGGGCTTGGGAGGATTGATTTGGAATTCAAAATGATTTTGATCAAGTGGAGATGCAGTCCAAAATGAAACAGATGGAATTCAAGACAAGTGTAGAGATTTACCCTTAGGAAGGAAAAATCAAATATATGAATACAAATGGAGAATGACTCTCTCAGCAGCAGTGCTAGGGAAGACCTGATGGATTAAATGATCTGCAAATGGCAAGAGGATCATTCCATATTCAAAGGGGAAAGGGGGGGAGGGAAGAAACAGTCCTGAAGGAAGGATTAAAATAATGCTTATATAGAGGGAAGGAGGGGAGTACTTCTACGGAGGCTTTGTCTGTAGCATTTTGCAAAGTCTTTATAACAGCTTCAGAGAAATGAGTTCTAGGGAAAAGGAGTAATGCGAAGACATTCTCGTGGGAAGTATTAACGTACAGACAGATGGGAATATAAGTGAGATTATTTACAGGACACTTGGGGAGAATGCTGAGTAACCTACACTGTGTGAGAGTGAGAAGAGTATGAAGAAAGGGCAAATAATGCACTCAAGTAGGTGCCTCAGGAAGGCAGTAGAATCATCCTCATTTTATTTTTTTTAAGTGGTTAGATAAAGATCTGTAGAAATAACCAAGGTAGGACAGTCTCTTCTTCCTTAAGGAAAGATAGGAGGGGCTTTCCAGTCCTATAATTTCATGATCCTTAAATTGTACCATAACTTTGACTTTGAGATGTTCTTAAATTCTAAATCAAAATTGCCATTCAAGAAAAATACCGGTAGTGGCTTTGGGGCCTGCATGTGCCAGCTTCTTGTTTATTCCTTTCTATTTGTAAGTTGTCTTCATTGGACAGGGACAATACAGTTGCCACAGTGCCAAGACTGTTCTGGCTATGATGCACTCCGAGGTGTTAGTATTGGAGGCATTCACAGAATTCACAGTCTCTGCTCATCTATGGATCAATGTAATTGAAATATACTTGTAGGTCTTCCATTTGGGGTCAGGGTTTGAGTCATCTGCTTTCCAAATTCTATCCTGCTCTATTATTCTGTTTTTATCTTGGAAGAGTTGTTAGGAAGTGGATATTGCAGGCACTAGCTGACAAACTACAAGCTAGTAAAACACTGACCTGAGAAAGCTAGCAACCTAGGCTGGGGTATGAAAGTAGAATATCCTGTAAACCAGAGCTGTAAATGCACTGCAGATGAAATGGCCTTCCTTGCATTGCTGCAGCAAGACTAGGGACTTCATCAAAGGTAGCTTACAGGATATGTCAATCTTGTGTACAGCTGCAGTTAAAGAAAAGACAGGTCTTAATAAATCTCTTTACTGAAATATGCTTTCCTTCCCTCTCACCTCTGCTGTCAATGGCTTTCTTCGGTTACCTTTCTAAAAGGAGTGGTTGTATGTGCAGAAGCATCCCAGGATTATTTTCCTGCCTTTCTTCTTTCCTCTAGTAACCGTCCCATCTTTTGCTCCGTGCCTTGACATGGGTTATTTTCCCGGAGAAGCTGGGCAGTAGCCAAAAGACCATACTAGTTCGATGAAAACATCAAATGGCTGAACTGAAGTGTTTGGAGTGATGCTTCAGAAATCTTCTGGATAGAAGGAAAGGGATGACACAGGCAATAGAAGCTGCTAATCTTCCTTTTCCCTGTGGTTAAGAGCTCTCTGAGCATGACATACAATCCAGCACAACTCTTCTATAGCGGAGATGCATGTCCGTTGTTCCAGTGAACACAGAGTTAAAATGGGCAGCCCTTGTCCTTGTGAAAAGAGGGAGAGCGTCTTGCTGAGATGACAAAAAATTCTTCAGGCATGGAGGAGGCGGTCTTCTTCATAAAATTATCCTTTGGAATACCCTGTGTGACTTCTATCTGCAGTGTAACATATTGACTTTGGCTCTTCTTGAGGTGATCTCTAATTAATGTTGTTACAAAGACTTAGAGATCTATGTCCTGGGGGGTCTTTCATACAGCAGTTGGGTGTGGAATAGGTGACAGAGAGGGAGCTTCCTGTGTAGGAAGCAGAGCAGCTGAGTTGGATCACTAACTCATAATCCTAGCATGAAGTACTCTTGTAGTACATCGTAGCTGTTTTTTTCCAAATACTTCCATATTCTGTTTTAATACTTTGCTGCAAATTGTAACAGCCATGTACTGTGAAATTTGCTCAAGATGCTCAGTAAAACATCTGCTGACACTTTCAAACTTGTGCTCTTCCAGAGTAGCTTAAGACTATTGCCCTACCACCTACGTCCCAGAAAAATCAGACTGAAAATGCCCAAGGATGGGGTAAAGGAGGACAGTGGTAGGGTTACAATTTATAGTCTGGGTAGCTTCTGGCTAGGAACTACAGCTAATGCTGTGACCATGGGGGATTGCGACAAAAGGTACTTACTGTTTTTTCCTTAAATGTGTAGTGATAATATACAGTTGCTGATATAACTGCCTGAGGAGATCTTGGTGCTTTCTAATATAACATTAAGCTCCCTCCATGTACATCTTTCTGCATTCTAATGTGTCTCTCAAATGCTTCAGTAGGCAGAGACTACAATGAAAAAGGTATCATATTCTTTTAATGCTGGTAGCTCAGTAACAACCTGCGTGAGATGCTTAGTCAGGCTGCAGCTGTCAAGCTGAACATCTTTCCTGTGGCAGGTGTAAACTTCATGCTATGTAGCTACAACAGGGCCTTCCCCTTACTTGAGGAGGTACACTGGGGGAAAGGTGTATGTTAATAAATTCTCCCCACCCGCCCTCCCTCCTTATATTTGCCTAATGAAGTACCTCGAGACACTCTGAGGCTTTTTCATTCATGTTCATAGCTAGTTCACTCCCCTCTGGTGCAATGAAGAAATGAAATCACAGGTTTGAAATGATCTCAAGTAACTGACAGTACTCTGAGGTTTAGACTTGCATCCTCTAATTCCTCATCCACATAAGACACTGTCAAGGTACTGTTTCTTGCACTTGGTGTCTTTTGTAGTCTGACCATCAAACTCATTGTGAAGTTCTAGAATTATTTTTGCTAGTGGTAGGCTAGCTACAGGTGGTAAATCAGATGTGGAGCTTAGTGTAGTTAGTGTAATGGAGAAAATCCAGCATTTGACTGATCAGGGAGGGATTACATCGGCTGTTTTTTAACCGTTTCGGTTGCCACATTTCTGCCTGTGACCTGATTTACCTTGAGATGGTTACTCCTTTTGTAATTTGGAGTACTTACAGGCATAAAACAAAAGTCTTCATAGACAGACTGTTAGGAACTTCAGGGATGGACAGCTTTCATTTGAAAACAGCTAGAGTGGTCAGAAAGGAATTTTGGT